GCCTGAAGGAGGGAACCAAGACGAGTCTCCATGCTCGTATTGCTTGTCCACGACAACGCCAGACTTGCTCAGGGGCTGAATGAAGGGCTGAAACGATGACACAACGCTCTGCTTTATATTTGAACTCACATAATGCACGCCTGCGAAGAGTTGCTTCACTTGCAGAGCTTGCATCAGCTGTTGTTGACATCCCCTCTTTGCGTGCGTGATGAGGGCAGGACGTGGCGGGGGGGGGGGCTGGAGCAGGGACACCCGTAATTACACGGTGCCGCGCTCAGCTGCGCGGGGCTGTCGCCTCGCTCCCGCGTGGATGGCACACACATGACCCAGTTCGGATGGCTCTGCCCTCTAATGAAAGGCTGACACGACCGATGCCTGAATAGCCACTCTGCCTTCCCCACTTAGCGCCTCGCAGACGATAAATCTGTTTATTAGCCCCGCACGGAGCACTCGGAGCGCCGCAGGACCCTGCAACCGCGTGAACTGAGCTACTTGGCAAAACTTTTAATATTCTGAAAGGCGAGGGAAGAATTATTAAAGCAAATGGACGTGTTGTGCTAAGTGACTTCGGTGTAAGGCTGCAAGAACTGTATCTTTTGATTGCTTTTGTCCATTTGTTTTCATAAACTTGCTCGATTTAAATGCTTCTGGGTGACGGTGCACTGGAGAGAAGCACAGCCGTGCCCATAAATACGTCCTGGGAGGTACCAGGTTTCTGTCTTCGGGGTTATAATCTCCAGGTGTCGTTACTGGGGAAGAGTCCTTGAACTCAGGGGATAACTGATGAGTCCCTGTGGGTGACTGAGGGTTGGATGATCCTTGTCCTCGCTGCTAGCTCCTCTGGCCACCTACTCTTGGCAAAACAAGCCCCTCTGCCTGCGCCCGTCAAATGCTGAACGCGCCGGACTGTTCGAAACTGGGAGCCAAACGGTGACAATTCTCCCTTTATCGAATTGTAAATGTAAACGCCGTGTTAACGTTTTAATTGGTTTGTGCGATCGAGGAGTGGTTGGCGGATCGAGTCCCCCTGTTTTGTCCTTTCTCGCGCGGTTGGCGCTGGCCGTGGGACTCGCGGTTAGGTGGATCCTGTTTCCTCACCCCTCTTGGGACAGGGGCAGTATTTCCGCCGCGGTGCTGCTGAAGTGCGTTTGGGCAAAATCTCTCCGGGGTTGTAAAACATCTTTCTGTGTGAAGCATCAAACTGCCAGCAGACGCGTGCCCTGGAGAACTCAGCAGGCTCTGCCCGCTTTCTAGCTTTGGTAGGAGAGCCGGGCAGTACAACGTTTGCAGGAAAATTAAATCCTCCCAACTGCGCAGCGACCGAATCCCGCGCGTGCTCTGGCGCTGCGCAGCTCCAGCTGCCCGGGCAGCAAAGCCATCACTTCCACTACCTCTAGATGCTGCTCTGAAGACCGGTAAGAGATTTATAAAAAAATGACTAGGAAATGCAGCACTCTCTATAATAGACCTTGTCCAGCTCTGGTGGTTTGGCAGGACGTGTTTTCCTTCACCTTGCAGCAACCTATACTAATTTAATTCAGGTTTTGCGGTCTAGTATCTCCTTCCATGGTGTTTGTTCTCGATTTATCCCGTCCGTTCTAGCTTGGAGAGGCTGTTTCAAAAGCGAGTAGTGCGCTCCTGGTCTGCCTTCGTCTCGATGGGTGGAAGAGCAAGAGGAGTTTCATCCTCTTCCATCCCTTGTGTGTAAGGGATGCGGCTTCACGCAGCAGTAAACGAGACGCTTTGTGGGATACTCTGGATTTTACACAGACTGCAAAATTTAGATGTAGGAAAGATAGGTTTTTCTGTATCCCGTCAAGAATAACTTATTCTACTGAATAGCACCTGGTAGCAAAGGATGTTAAGAGAGACGTTAAGAAAAGCAAACTCAGTTCACTTTTTATATATCCCCAGAGGAAATTTCAAAAGCCTGGAAGTCTAAAATAGCCTCTGACATTTTTTTCAGACTAGTTTTATTCCTGCATGGACTTGCCAGAAAGTCAGAGTGTCCATTGGTATGTTTAACTAGCTATACGTGCTGCCGTGACTTAGCAATATGTCCCAATCCCAGCCCTGTTTCGCCCAGCCTTTGTCATCTGAGCACCCAGTTTCGGAGGAAGACTTGAGAAAATAGGTCTGGCGATGTACCCCGGCGCTTCCCAGCCTTCCAGTGGAGGGACAATTCCAGAGCCGAGGTCCTCCCACCGAGCACATCCTGCCCCAGCCCTGTCACATGGAAGTCCAAGGACTTTTTTAGTAAGACAAAACGCAAACGTCCCCTTAGTATAGTACTGCTCGAAGGGTAACTTCTACAGAAAAACCGTTTAAGGCTTTGATTTGCACCGGAATCGAGATGAGCTTTTTCTGCTGCGCAGCGTAACGGGCAGAAGTCAAGAAGTTACCTGTGCTGTGCACAAAGCTCTTTGTCCTCGCTGTAATTCCTGGTGAACAGCAGGCAGTGGCTGTCGCCTGCGGTCTCACGGTAAGATTTGAACTGGGACAGAGCCTTGCTGCCAGTACGGATGAGACGGGGAAGGCTGGCTGGCTGCTCCTGGAATCTCTATTTTAATACTTCCTGCCCCTTGCCTGTTCTCTTCGGGTCTGGTTCCTTTTCGGAAGTCTCCTGCTGCTATCTGATTTGCTCCTTTAATTTCTCTCACCCTTTTCTGTGAGGGGGGTGGAGGGTGCTGGTTCGGATGTAAGATTCCGGCCTGGACAACAGTTGGCAGAGAGGGTAGGGCTGCCCGTTCACTATTGTTCTTCGAGCTGGGGGAAGAAAAAAATCAAGAGTCTCATTTTCCCATGAATAATTCCTCTGCGTTTCTCCTTCATTAGAGCTTTCTCCAGAATTTCCTTAATTTCCCAGCTTGTCAGCGAAGCTGTCTAATTAGACGATGCAGTCCCAGAAGGCAGGGGGGCGTGGGGTCCTGCCCGCGGGGACACCCCGCAGCTCCCTGCCAGGCCCCAGGTCACGGTCGTGACCGAGCCTGAGCGTGGTCCTGGGCTCGAGGAGATGCTCTGCTGCCCTAGGCTCCGAGGGAACAGGCTTCGCAGAATTTGTGTTAGCTGGGGAGATGGCAAAACTTCCATTTTAATTATCTGCAAAATGGGCTGAGTAGTTGCCTGTCTAGTGGACCATTTAGGACTTGCTAACTTGTGATATCTTCTGGTGGGAAGTGATAAAAGCGTCTGTGGGGGGAAAAACAACACTTCTCTGCTGTGTGACATTTTGGGAGAGAATGCTGGAGAGTTCGTGTCCCACTTCAGCATCATGCTTCGGTATCTCGAGATAATTAAAAAGCAAACTGTGGTTTAGAAGCCCAGCTTTTTTTTTTTTTTTTTTTTTTTTTTTTTTCCAAGTTTGACTGCCTCTATAAGCACTGGGGTTTTGTGTTCCCTTGCAGTGGTGGCATTATTCTGTTGTCGCTTCGCTGTCGCTGCCTGGAGCGTGTTCAAAAGCTGCTTGGCGGCAGCCCGTTCGCTCTTCACGTTAAGCTGTGATGGTTTCTGTGGCAGGTGATGGGGTTGGATTGCTGCTCAGGTACCGAATATTTGCTGCTTGGAGGAGCTGTTGTCTCTCGGAGACCTAGCGTACAGCTTCATAAGCCACTAAGTTCTTACTTTCCTTTTTTAACTCTTAATCTGATCCTCTGCCACTTAAGCAACCCAGCTGATGCTGGGTTTATTTGCTTTGCATACATACAGCTAAATTGATTCAGACCACTTAACCAGCTGATTAGAATCAGCTTTTTCAGAGTGCTGTTTTTACCAGGTATGCAGCTCAGGAGGATCAGCCTTCAGTTGTTCCAGAGGTTAAAGAGAAATTTTATTAATGAAATTAAAGCTCATTCTCCCCTGCTTTGCTTTTGGAAATGTTGAGGCATGGCTTCTAAACGGAATGAGGCATCACTGCTCAGCAGTCTTGGTTCCCAGAGCACTCTAATCATTCCTCCCACAGGCGTAAGTGTGTGGAGGTTGTTTGTTTATTTTTTTTTCACCATGGCAAGACAATACCGAGTCTTAAATATGTGTAGGTACTTCTCAAGAAACACGTGAGTCTTTGCTCTCTGTTTTTCTTAGGACTCGTTTGGAAAGAGAAGTTTCATTCTTAGAGCTAGCGAGATTATTTTAACTGGTCTAAAAGTCCATTTCAGATTTCGTAAATTGTTGGCCACTGTGCTGATGCTTTTTGCACGGGCTACAACAAACAGCTCTGGCTTCGTTGCCTTGGAAGAACACAGCGTCTTCCCAGAATCATCTGTCTCCTGATGCAGCACCAAAGATCATGATTCCCTTTAAACCACGCTTCGTCATTTAAAGAAAATACCCTTTGCCCCCAAGCTCCTGCAGTCTGCCCTCAAACCATTTGCAGCGAGAACGATACGGGCACTGTAAGGTTGGGTTTTTTTAGGCTCCCGTTCGCCAGCCGTCTGCAGCCTTTTCTGTTACCGAAGCCAGCCCTGCTCTGCCTGCATCATCAACCTCCATTTGTTGGATGTTGGGGCTGCTTAATCACTCCTGTCATAGCCCTTCCCTCCAACCCCTTTGCCATATGGTTCTTTGCTGCGTAGTTACACTTCGTGGTTTGAAAACGCCTGTGCCGTGGTGCTCCTCCACGGAGCCGGGACACAGCTGGGAGCCCGCAGTAATGCTGGAGGTGATGCCTTCCACAGGCAGTGCCAGCCGACGAGGGCACCCTGAATAGCATTTGCTTTAATAGAGAAATTGAAAAAAATCTCAGTTTATATTTAATCTATCAATCCACAGAGCGTTCCTGGACCGTTTTTAAGCTGTATTGGATGTAACATTCTATCCAGCTGGGGTCCAATCCCGGAGTTTGAAAGCTTGAGCGCAAAGTTTATCTTTCGAGAATTTATCGGGCCAGATGTCTCTCTTGAAATGGCCTCGTTAACCAACAACTTCTTCCCGTAGCTTTTGTTCCCTTAATGAAAATATATGGCTAAATGGTTCCAATTGGTTTTTTTTTTTTTTGTTTACAGATGTTCTCAAACAACGATGAAGCCGTGATCAACAAAAAACTTCCAAAAGAGCTGCTGCTTCGGTAAGCCGCCTTTCAGTTTCTAAGCTTGGAGTCTGTGGTGTGTATCGTTGTTTGCGGCCAGTAGCTGATTTTGTTGGTATGCTCATAAATCGTGAGCTTGGACTGGGTCGCTTGCAAAGCCAAACAGAAGCAGATCAAAGGTCTGTATCGGCAGCCGTTTGTGCTAAATATTATTAGGTTTGGATTTTCAAACGGCTAAATTAATTTGCTGGTTGCCTGTTTTGTAGAGGGAAGAACTATAGGACTAAAATCCTTAATGAAAATAAACAGTAAGTATGGGCTAATGTGTAGAATGGAATTCTGCCTCTCTCTGAAGGGTTCCATTTTAAAAAAGGTTCCTCTGCTCCGGTTACGCTCGAGCAGACTTTGTCTTGTTCCTCGTCGATAAGACACAGATGTTCAGCACCTGGCAGGATGGTCCTGTTGGCAAAGATGGAACAGACCAGACTTTGTGGATCTCGGTAGATAACTGCTGCCCTTCTGTACACACACGCCTGGTCCTTTGGGAGTTTGCCTGGCGCAGCGTGGTGGCCTCTCTGGTTGTACCTCAGTCGTCACAGTTTGGTGTCCCGAAGCCAAGTTGCGTCCATCAGTGCTTTACGCTGAGGTGCTAGACTGTAAATGGTGAAGGCGATTGCAGGTGGCAGCTTGAATTATCAACACGGGCAAAATTCTTGTGCTGCAAGGAACGGTAGTACTGTCAACACTCAATAAAAAGTCTGGGGAGAGGAGCTCTGACACAGGAACCTGCTTCTAGCTCACTTGTGAGAGAAAATGAATGGAAAACAAGTCTGCCTTTTTTTTTTTTTTTTTGACTGCACTGCCTCCTCTGTTCTCTGTATCTCCAGTCTGATTCAGTTTCTTTTATTCCAGTATTATTCATCCAAAAGGAAGATGTACGGCTTCTAGAGCCCTCCTTGCTAATAACGTGGGTATTTGGGTTTTGAGCCCAGTACACAGGCAAACGATTGTCCGTGCTGTACAGAGATGTGTAAAAAATCACCTGGAAGAGATGAGCAAGCTGTGGGAGGAGCAGGATGGAGTAACAGATCCCATCGGATGCCCTAGCCCAGATGAGTTTGCACAGTTTTTTGCACAGTTGTCTTCACCCTGCACCTGCCCTGAACCGTTGGGATGGATGTGTTGCAGCAAAAGGGGAATTTGAAGAGTGAGAAGAACATCCCTCTGGATTTTCTGAGAGGGGGGGATTCTTTTTCTGACGGGAGCAAGTAGGTGTTGCTACTCCAGATGCAAAAAAAAAAAAAAAAATCCCGGGATTCACCCTTGTGGTAAGGTGACAAGACTCAGGTGGGCTGGGGACAGGCTGTGAAGAGCACTGACATGGGAGGCAAAGCCTTCGTGGGGCACAGGGAAAGGACGGAATCTGGTAGGGAGAGAAAGAAGTGGGGGGGGGGTGTGGAATTTAATTTGCGTGGACTTTGGGGAAGGAGGTGTGTGGTCACTGGGCTCCCAGGGAGCAGGACCTTGACTAGAGCTTTGGGTGAGCTTTTTGGTAGATCAGTCAAAGTGGAATGATCCTGGGTGGGACCAGTAAACACATCCTGGTCTATCGGAGGTAGCTGGTGTTGAGGGACATTACTAGACAGTTGGAGAAGGATTTGTGGTAAGTAGAAGGGAAGGTCCTGCACCAAGCAGGGAATTTTGGCACTACAAGCCACGGTGCAGCTGAGTTCTCAAGACATACACACGCTTCTGCCCTGCAGAAATGTTTCTGTCTTTTGTCTCTTGACATCGCTCATCATCCTGACCTGCTGTAGGACAGAGCGAGCGTTGAGGGTTGTGTGGAACCTAGGAGAAATCAGGAGACTGAGTTTATGAAGGTTAAAGTTCATAAGTAATGGTTTTGAGAGTTGGAATTCACTGTTAGCATACTGCGAAAATTAATCAGCGTGGATTGACAGTGCAGCCTTTGAAAGAGAAACTTGGATGCGTTTATCTGCAGGAATCTCCTGTAAATGAGTGTCACTGTCTACAAGACAAAGACTTATGTGTCGAAGCAGCGCCGCTGTGTAAAGGCTTGTTCTCTGGTTTGTTCATTCTGCAGATGGCATTGATGTCTCATGTATGTGGTTGCAAAGTGGAAAGCTGCACTTGAGCAAAATAAAGAGTAGGAGGATATAAAAGGGGTGAACAGCAGCCTTTGTCACACCCCAAGATACAGAAATGTGCAACTCCAGCAATGCTTTTGTCTGGGAGGATGGGGTGGAGGTGTAAAGCGCTCTGGGGGCTGGCCCCAGAAATCTCTCCTATGAAGGTGTCCGTGCCGGTAGCGGGGATGTTTCTCCTGCGGTTCCCTGCCAGCAGGACTCTGAGCTGAGCTGTCCTGCAGAGAGCTCAGCCCATGGGTCACAGAGCCTTGTCCTCACACCGCCCTGCCTGCGCAGCTTTGTCTCCTGCCGCCCGCCTTTCTAGGAGCTTACACCTTCAGACGTGAATATACCTTTACACAGCTAATAAAGGAAAAATTCACCACCCTCCTTCCTTTGCTCGCCCCCAGCTCCTCTCCGGGCAGGATCTGAAGGGTGAATTCGTGGATGTTTCCCCAGAGGGGTGTCGTGTCCCTCCTTCCCTGGGCTGGCGTGAGCGACGCCCCGTTGAAAAGGTGCATTCACGCTCCCGGGGCTGCCTGCCAGTTGCTCTCTGCCTGCAAGCCAAACCCCAGCGGCAAGCCGGGATTTTCTGGGGCAGTGGTGGTCTCTGCTGGTTTCTGCAGAAGGTTCACTCTCGGCGTGACGTGGGGCTGGTCAAGAGCTTACGCTCGGCGGGGCGGGGGGCGCCGGGACCTCGTCTTTTCCTTACTGGGTCACGGGCAGGTCAAGCGGTTTTCAATTCGCTCCTGGCGTAAGAGGCTTTTACTCCATGGTGCCCGCTAGCCCATTTCCAGCACACCCAGTCGCTGGCACTGGCTTTGCCATCTGACCTTCAAGCCCCACGTTGATTTATTCATCGGGAGCTTGAGTTCTGCTCAGGACAAGGGAGCAGCAGAGCGTGGCGGGGGGGGACACCGGTGAGTTGGCAGCCAAGTTGTCATTTCTTTCCTCCCGGCCAGCCCGTCGGCATAAAATGAGTACGGAGCAAAATTTAACTTGATTTGAGGGGGGGGGGTCGCTGACATATATTGGTGTTGATAATTTTAGAAGGCTAAAAGTCTAAGCTAGCTCACCCCAAAGCCCGCAGCATCCAGGGATTTCATTAGTCTTGGCCATAATCTAATTAGAGCGGCAGTGGGAAAGTGAGGAGTCCTAGAAAACCCTGAGCGGATTAAGAGGTTGAAACCCGAAAAATGCTTTAACCTCACCGCGTTTAGTTGAATTCTCCAGTGCTGAACTGCTCAGGCGAAGTCCTGAATGTAGGGGGTTAACTTTGCAAGTGAAACAGTTTAACCCGCTGCAACACCAGATTTTTTTTTTTAATTCCTGTTTGGAATCCTCGATCTGCCTTCACCTGTGATAACTTTATCATCAAGCAGCTGTTGCTGTGGGTTATTTTCTTACTGTCAGCCCTGAAGAGTAAAAAAGACCAATGTAAGAGTATACAGCAGCCAGCTGGGAGCAAAACAGAAATCCCGTGTGTCGGATGTGAAAATTAACATCCCGGCGATGTGCCTTTCGAGCTGTTAAGGGAGAGTTGGGAAAACCGTTACTCGAGTCAGTACTGTTCGGTCTGCTGCTGCTTTTCTCTGCTTTCTTTCACCAGGTAAAGTGAACCTGACCAAAAGCAGCAGATGTTTCCTAAGGGTTCGGTGCTTTGGAACAATTCCAGGGGGGTGACCACTCTCTCGTGTTCCTGAGAGGGGCTGTGCCCGGGTAACGAAGTTGCATCCAAATTACCCGTCGCCCCAGTATGTCTTTGTTGTCACATCCGTAGGGTATTGGCAAGGATCTGTGTTATTTCAAGCGTACATAGAAATCACCTTTGTTTTATTTTATGCCGTGCAGATTTCTGAAAAGAGACCCAGCCTTATGGCCCGTGCCGCGCTCCTGTTGGAAGATGACAACTGCTCAGTCGTTGCTTAGCCACACGGGCGGCTTATTTGTGGGGTTTTTGGGTCATGTTGGGTTGGTTTTTTGTTGTTTTTTTTTTTTTTTTAAATGTTCCCCAGCAGCTCCTCAGAGAAAGAAAAAGCCTGTCCTCAGGGCTGCGTTAGAAAACTTAGCTCGGGTCATTGTGCCCGCAAGACTTTTAACTGTGCTCCTGCTGTTCTCTCCAGTTCGTGCGAGGGGTTGTAGTTGGAGCCAGTTCTGCAGTGACCAGAACGCGCAGCGGAGGGGTGACTGCTGCCCAGACAGTCCCGTTCTGCTGAGTCATTCTGCTCAGCATTCCTCAACAAATGCAAGAGCGGTTCAGAAAACACTGAAAAATGCTCTTCGGCTTTTCGGAGCCAAAGTCTCCGAATTAGACAAGGGAACTCCTGGGGAAGATCAGCAGCGTCAACCTCGGCGGTTAGAGGGACAGGACTTCTGCTGTGCTGACATCCCACATCCCTTTTACTGGGGGATAGACTGGGAAGGGAGGAGCAGGAAGCAGAAAAGAATTTGGCCAAGACCTAATAGCCCTAACAGAGCGATGGGATGGTTATTAATAGCCCGGGATTTCCATGGAGAAAGCAATTTTAATGAAAATTTAGAAAACTTGTGTAGTTATTGATTTTTTTTTTTTTTTTTTTTTTTTCTCCCATGATGGGAATTAAGGGTGAAAGCAGGAATTTTCTCTGTCTTCTATCGTTCCCCAGGCTTTCCTTGTATTGTTAGACATGGGCATCGTGCTAAATAACTCCTCAGTGCTCACATACATGCATGAATAAATGACAATTTAATTCGAGGGGAAGACTTGTCTGTAAGCAGTGAGTTGGGAACCGCTTCTGAAACCAAGAGCTGGGTTCCCGGAGCAGAGTTACAGGAAAGTGCACGGTAACTCTTCCCACCCTTTTAACCGCCTGTCACGGGACCTTTTGTCTCATGATGAGATGTCTCTTGAACCAGGCTCCTTGAATCTGAGTTCTTTGGGCAGCGTAGAAACCCAGGAGAGCCGTTTGTTCTGCCAGATCCTGACTTAACATTTGGCTGTTGAGCTGCAGGATACCTGTAAGCATCTGATAAATAATTTGCGTCCATCCTCCATCAGTAACATCCTTTCCTCTTCCACCAACGTTGGTGTTTCTAAAGTGCTTTTTATATTTCTATACCTGCTGGTCCAGAAAGCTTGATCGTGCAATTGTTTTATCATATGGCATCATCTCAGCCTTGCTTGTGTCCTTTCCTAAAAATCTGAAACTCCAGGGTTTGCTATTTATATGTAATACACGGGGGGGGGGGGGAAGGG